TATCTGCTTTGAACTGAGATATATGACAGTGTGGACTCAGAAACCCCAGTTTAATGCAGGTATTGTAGCTTATTCTGTCTTGATAAGAGAGGTACAGGTTTCCCCTTGACATTTTGCACTAAATGTCCTTAGAAGCACTTTATTTATGGTTTGTGCTATTGAATCCTCCCTCACTCTTGGATCCTCATCCTGATAATTTATATTGTCCTATCTCCCAGTGTTTTTAATTTGTTTTAGCTTTGAATGTGGCCCTGCCCAGTGAAATTTCTGTTTTAAATTTCTTGTCTGCGTCGTTTATTTTATTTCTTTTCAATTTATGTATTTTATTTCTGGTATTGCCATGTGTTTTATTATAATGTATGTACTGTACTGATGGGCGTGGCCTCATGTAAGCCGCACCGAGTCCTCCTGGGGAAGATGGAGCAGGGTATAAATAAAGTATTATTATTATTATTATTATTATTATTATTATTATTATTATTATTAAGTCTAGTCATGTCTGACTCATCTCGAAGCCAAAGAGCCAGCATTGTCAGTAAACACCTCCTGAGTCAATTGGCCAGCATGACTGCATGGAGTGCCGTTACCTTCCCGCCAAACATTTGCATGTTTTTGAACTGCTAGGTTGGCAGAAGCTGAGCCTAACAGTGGGAGCTCACCCTTTGAACCACCAACCTTCCGGTCAGCAAGTTCAGTATCTCAGCGGTTTAACTGTGCTACCAGGGGGGACCTAGTAAACTTTATACCACACTAAATCTACATCTCAACCTGGAGGTTATGAGGTTAGGAGGCTCCATGGCTTGTTCTCCTCCTTTTGTTTCTTCCCACATTGAAATAGGCATGATCCACCCATGTGCCATATGCCCTCCCAATATCCCAGTTGCTGCCAAGCCCCTCCATAGAGGGGAGGCTGCTGCTGCTGCTTCTTACCAGTACGGCGATGGGAAGACAAGTCATGGAGGAAGGTGCAGTTAGTGTCTGCTGTGGGGGAAAGAAATGAGGAAGCACTGTCAGATAGCATGTGCTGGCATTTCCCTTCCACTCAGAACCAACACCAGCTGCATCCTCCTCTAAGCCCCTTCCTGCATCCCCTCCCCACTAGGAAGCAGCAGCAAATCCCTCCCCACCAGGATTTGATTGCAGTTGGGAGACTGTTTTGGACAAAGTGCAAAGGGCCCACAAGCCCCATCCAAAAATCTGATTCCAACTTCAGTTACACAAAAACTGAGTCAAAGCTCCTCCTGCCACAACACACATACTTCAGCCCATCTACCATCATCTTACCATTTGTAGTCTCCGGTCTTCAAACTTATCCCAAGCTTCTGGTTTTGATCTTGCTGCTACCAAATCGTGGCTAAGTGAAGGAAATGCTTTCATATCATATCTAGTTTCTGCCTTACTCTCCGTCCTGTTTTCTGATTTCTGCCTAAATACCTTGACAGATTCTTGTTCAATCTGGAAAAAAAAATCACACACAAATACAAACAACAGTGCCTTTCTGCAGCATTGTATGTGGATGCCTTTGAACTGGTAAAAAGTCCCATGCAATGGTACAGGAGTGAATCTTCTCCTGGTTTTGAGCTAAAATTCACATGCGCTCTCCAAATTACTAGGCCTGTTCAATGCATGGTTCTAAATGGTTCTAAAGTACTTACAAAACTAAAGTTCTGGTGGTGAAAATTTCAGAACTCTTTCAAAATGTAATTATTATTTCATTATTGGTGATTTTTATGACAGAATCTATTTATTTATTTATTTATTTATTTATCGTGACAGGGGCAGAGCAAACAGTTACATTGCATTTTTAACAAACAAACAAACAAAACACAAAGTATGCAAGCTTGGTAGTTGATTAAATGTCCTTTGACCGGTAGCTGGCCACTAGGAGTGCCTCTGGTGTTGCTGCAAGAAGGTCCTCCATTGTGTATGTGGCAGGGCTCAGGTTGCATTGCAGCAGGTGGTCTGTAGTTTGCACTGCACACTCGCATGTCGTGGATTCCACTTTGTAGCCCCATTTCTTCAGGTTGGCTCTGCATCTCATGGTGCCAGAGCGCAGTCTGTTCAGCGCCTTCCAAGTCGCCCAGTTTTCTGTGTGCCCAGGGGAGAGTCTCTCATTTGGTATCAGCCATTGGTTGAGGTTCTGGCTTTAAGCCTTCCACTTTTGGACTCTCACTTGCTGAGGTGTTCCTGCGAGTGTCTCTGTAGATCTTAGAAAACTATTTCTTGATTTAAGTCATTGACGTGCTGGCTGATACCCAAACAAGGGAAGGGCAGGAGATGTCACTGCCTTGGTCCTTTCACTACTGGCTGCTACTTCCCAGCGGATGTCAGGTGGTGCAATACCGGCTAAACAGTGTAATTTCTCCAGTGGTGTAGGGCGCAGACACCCTATGATAATGCGGCATGTTTCATTAAGAGCCACATCTACTGTTTTAGCGTGGGCATGAGTAGCAGCAGAGAAGCATAGCGCAAGGGCAGATGTCTTCACTGTGTCTGGTTGTGATCCCCAGGTTGTGCCAGTCAGCTTTCATATGATATTATTTCTAGTGCCCACTTTTTGCTTGATATTCAGGCATACAGAAC